AGTTGACTTTCCAGCAGGTTTTCAAAGGTAGTTAAACACAAGGAGAATGCCCATCTTTCTCCCGTGAAGCAGCTGGTGGCCTTGAACCACATGCCTTCTGGATAGCAGTGCAGCTTCTTGCCGCTGGGCCACCAGAGCTCCCCAATAGATGATAGGAAACAATATATGAGAAACTGAATATTTCTATTCAGATAAATTTTAAAATGAGAAGACAGAGATGAATGTAGTAGTAACTTTTAAAACTATAGTCTATTCAGTCTTTCATGAAAATGTTTCTATGTTCACAATTATGATTTATTTTCTTTGATATTGCAATAAGCAAGACTGCCTGTTTTACCTTCTAACAGCAGTAGTGAAGCAATAGTTCCATTTGTCTAAAACCATCTGTTGCCACACTCATTAATGTTTGCAATTAGTAGAAACCAGGCATTGGCTGATTTGATTGACATGTGTTTATTTTCTCTTCCACACATTTCAGGAACACAGCATGTGAGTAATGAAAGAAGAAATGTAATTTGCTACTATTGATAGTGTAGCTAGCTATTATCAGCATACTTACAACTGGACCTGGTGGGCCTTGGGGACCTTCTCCTCCTTTCAGACCAGATGCGCCCTGGAGAAAGTGAGGGTGGGGGGAACCCAAAGACAAAGAAAATTAATCTATGTGAATCAAACATAAATAAGAGCAATTTTATGAATTATAAAATAAAGATATGTGTTCTCAAACACAAATAAAAATTGTTTTATATATTATATAACCAAATATATATCTTACTTTAATTATACATCAAATTTATTTAACACTAGATAAAAGTCCTCCTAATAAGTAATTTTTATTCACATGTTTTACCTATATATTGATAGTACCTGAGCTCCAGGAAGACCTCTTTCACCTGGAAAACCTCGTAATCCTGCTGGTCCGTCTTTTCCTGAGATACCTTGAGGACCTGGGTCACCCTGAAAAAAATACATTCATTGGTAAAGAGTAATTTCAACCCATTTACACAAATTAAATTGTGAGTGCCTCTAAGTTACTATAAATAAATCCCAAATTTTAGCTGTGGTGGTAGGATTTTTCTGTTTTGTTTTGTTATTCTATTCATTGCCTTTGGTCTGCCCACAAGGCCAAGTAGGACATGAAAGTTAAATGAATCTTTGAGGTTCCACACACCATCCTTAGCTCCCCTGGTATCATGGTCTCCAGCTACCTCATCTGTAGATATGTAGATCCTGTTAATCAGGATCTTCAACATCATCAACAGCTGTGAAACTTACACAAAAGAGAACGCTAACCAGACTGTGGACAGACTACAGTGAGGCAAGCTTGGCAGAGCCTGGAAAATGAAATCACACATAAAGGTTTTGCTTTCTGTATGAGAGAAAGGAAAATGGATTTGTGCCTTTATGAGAAAAAGCTTGCTGGGTGACTGAGGAAACCAGAGGCTTCTTGCATTTGTGTTGCTGGTCTGAACCTGGACTTTCCCTTGTTGACTGAAAAGATGTCTGAACTAATTGAGAAATTTTGTCCTGCTGTTCATCTGGCTTGGTTGCGGTTCATGAAACCTGCATTTACACTGTGTGATATCCTTTGCCCCCTACAACTTCCAATCTATTTCATCCTGCAATTGTGAATGTAATAGGAGATTCTGCAAAGTCTGTATCGTCTATTTGCAATAGATATCAGACTCAGTAATTAGTAGAAGTAGGTACAGGAGCACGCGCACGTGTGTGTGTGTGTGTGTGTGTGTGTGTGTATGTATGTGTGTGTGTGTTTGTGATGTCTGACATAGCAATTGGTTTTATACTGTATATTTGCTGGTGGGGACATTTCCTCCTTATGTAGTTAGTTCAGACTCCACCTTCCCCACATTGTTGTTCCTTTCTCATTAGCTAATGATTAAAATATTTTACAGAATATCACATATGTTCAAGTGGTGGATTGTTAAGTGGAAGATCAGCAATTTGAGCCCATCAGTAATTTCACGGAAGAGAAGATGAGGTAGTTTCTTCTCCTAAAGATTTCTAGCCTCGGAAATCTCAAGGAAGTTTTCAATAAGTCAAAACTGACTTGATGGCATAGAGTTTAATTTTAGGGTAATCATACATTTAGGACGTGGAAAAACCTGATGTCAGGGACCTGCTTAGAACACTGAAGAGTAACAATGTCTATCTAGAGAGTAAAGTGTGGCTGATCTAAGCCATAGTCTTCGCAATTACTTGCTATGCATTTGAGAGCTGGACAATGAATAAAGGTGACATAAGAAGAATCAATGCCTTTGAGTTGTGGTGCCAGAGAAGAGTATTGAAAATATCATGGACTGCTAAGAGAACAAACAAGTCGGACCTAAAGAGGTGAAACCAGGCTGCTCCTTGGAGGCAAGGATTTTGAAGCTCTGTCTGACATATTTTGGACATGTTGCAAGGAGTGACCAGTACTTGGAGAAGGATGTCATGCTTGAGAGTGTGGAAGGACAGCACAATAGAGGAAAACTCTGGATAAGATGGAATAACACAGTGACTGGGGTAATAGGAATAGGTATGTCAGAAACAGTGAATTTGGCTTAGAATAGGACAGGGTCCAGAGCTTTTGTACATAAGGCTGCCATGAGCCACAGGCAACTTGACGGCACACAACAAAAACAATATAAATTAACACTATTACATCTGATAGAGCTCTCTAGTCTTTTCCTCTATAGGCAATATTTCAAAGAGTGTTCAAAGACAGGCAATGGTTACATATCAGAACTGAGGGAATATTCAGGATCATGGCATACAATCTAATTGTTAAATTATGACTCTCACTCTCTTGTTGACCTTCCAATTGGTCTATGAACTTGGCCCTGTTGTATAATTTTAATAGCCTCATTTAGTTATTATTGCCTATAAAACCTGTCTGAACTTGCCCATTTTCCTGCCATGGCTTTCAGTAGCATGTTTTAACTGACATTTAAGAACTTATTCAATCTCTAACTCATCTGAATTACAGCAAGTTATCTCCAACAACTCGGTAAAATACTGTGGTTGTTTTGGCAGAGTATTCTACCATGATTTTCATTTAACAACTACTTGCGGAAACTCCATAAAGTTATGTTATTGTTCAGTAATGTTTTGCAGTAAAACAAACACATACTGAATGATTTTTTTATATAGCTTCATATATTCATTTAACTAGTATATCTAAACATGGAGAATCAAAGGGCAGGACTGAGAAGAGGCTGGGTAAGGTGAAGAAGTATTTCCAGTCCAGCAAATTCTCTAATTGTGTTTACCTTTGCTCCTTCTTTTCCTGCTGCACCAGGAAGGCCTTGCTCACCAGGAGGACCAGGAGGGCCAGGATGTCCACGTTCACCTATTGGACCAGTCTCACCAGTAGGACCCTAAATTAATGAAGAGAAAGCTCTTAGTTTTTAGCAAAGATAACCCAAACTCAAGATAAACTGCATTTCCTTTCACAAACCTTCATCATCTACATTTATTTTTAGGATGATGTCTTAAAAGATACTCTATAACCATTGAAAATAAACCTGGAAGGAATATAAATAGGGTATGTGAAATGTTAGATAGGGTGTGTGTGTATGTATGTGTGTGTGTATGTGTAACTTAAAAAATGAAAATTGTGTCTATTAGTTATATCCCAGACCATAATGTTAGACAAGATATCAGATAAGTGTAAGAGTAAAGAGGTATTGGTACTACATTGATACACTGGTAGATGCTCAACATGTTTCTGCTTGATAAGAAACCTTGGTCTGCTGAAACTCAAATGGCCAATGTGTTCTCTCTGGATTTAGTGGACTGGAGACCGTCTCTCTGTTAATCTATATTCATTTGACAAAGTCTAGGGAAAGTGCCAGAAGGATCCTGGAGGGAGTGTGTTTGGGCTGGCAGTTTCTTTAGGCTGAAGGCTTTAACAAATAGCCAGCTGACTTAAATTGCTGGAAAATGCCAAAGTGAAAAATGTCAGGCCATTTAAGAGTCCCCTGAGTGGTACTATGTTGTGGTACTAGAGTTTAATAAGCTTTCTGGTGTAGATAGGGAATAGTGAGCAGTTACTCTCTATCTATACTTAAAATAGAGAAAAATGTTAGATTTATGTTAAAGATGTATAAAAGGACACTCTAAATGTAAAACTGCTATGCAGAAGAAAATGTTACTAAAGTTGCTCATGGAGTACCATCCTCTAACTTTAAGAACACAATGAAAAAAACTTTTCCTATTTGAAATAATTTTAGATAGATTAAAACCTTTAGTTGTTGTTATGCACTGACAAGTCAGATCCAACCCATAACTGACCCTACTTAGAATAATATATTACATATGTGGACATTTTATTATGTTGTGACACTCAAAGATTCATTTTATCCTGTTAATATAATATGTTGTTGCTGAGTATCATTGAGTCAGAACTGGCTCATAGCTGACCCTCCAGCAGATTTTCACAGGCAATAAATTGCACAGGGGTGATGACTGCCCATTTTTCTCCCATGAAGTAGCTGGTAGATTAAAACAAGTTTGCTTCCAAATTTAATTAATGCGTAGAGACCAAAAATTCATTTTATAATTTAAAATTCAGGGAAGAGATAGTGGTCAAACTATTTAATAAAGCATTGCTTTAAAAAATTATAGTTTTTGCCATTTTCAAACTTCAATATTTGAGTCATTGTGAATTTTCTGATTTACGTTACAATTTGATTTTGTTCATATGGATAAATGAGACACTGCTTTGGCTAAGGAAGAGTTTGCTAGATTTTGTTTGATGTTGCATACATAAATTTTTTTCTGAAATATAAAATTAAATTATATTAAATCATAACAAAATGGATGGATATTACACAATTTAATAACAAAGGGATAAGAGATTAAGAAATAAATCTTGTTAGGAAAGCAAAATAAAGGAACATACTTGTGGTCCAACAACACCTCCTGGTCCAGGAGGGCCAGTCTTGCCTTGAAACCCCTAAGGAAAAAAAAATTATAAGCTGTAAAAATTTGCATGAAATGAAGTAGAAATAAATATTCTATGAGATAAGCAAGCAAGTCATGATTAAAGAAATTAATATTCAACTCAAATATTTATTTTAAAATGTTTTCACATGAGTGATTATATTACAATTATCTTTAAAATTATATATTTAGCATCTATCCTACTTCAAATTGCACTTCAATAATAACATTAAAAAAATTCACATTTAAGAAATGTGAAGTAAGAGAGTAAGTAGAATAAAAATAATCTTAGCCCCGTTCCTCTGAGCAAACAATGAACAGAATTTTAAACAGAAAAAAACTGTAAATAAGATTAATAATGACTCAGGTAGCATATGGAACCTTGTATCAAGAGATAAATACATAGTCTGATATTAATGCATTAATTTTTATTCTATTCCAACAAATTTAAAAGAGAGTATTTTGTCTGATGAGTAATCATTTCAGCATTTTAGTGGATTGTTCTTTCTGAAATCTTTTAAAGAAAGGTATAGTTCCAAATGCACTTTTAAAAGATTGTAGTCGTGAAAACAAAATCTAGTACATGTGAGCAGAATAGACATGCTAAGTAATGCCTTTGGGCATGTAGTCTTCTGTCTGCATTTTTCTAGGCTCCTTTATTCATTCTGCATCATTGCATTATGACTGGAAAACTTATCCCAGATATAAGTTAATTACATCTAACAGTTTGATAAATATATACCAAATACTGAGAAAAACTTAAAGAAATATTTAGCTTTCCAAGAACTGAATTACAGAAAACTGATGTAGAAACTTTATTCACTGTGCCATCTAATCAGACTAAAATGAGAAAGCTAAAAAGCAATTAGGTAGCCTCAAATTTTGACTCTCAACCTTTCTGATAAGTAAAGTTGAATATTTTCTCTTAACAAAATGTTATAACCCTTCTACATGAAGATAATTAAAAGTTAAATGTGTTTGTAATTACTGTAATTGATGTTACAGGGAAAGAAAACGAATTTATTCTATTTTTGAAACCCCATAATTCTTAAAACCATCAGGGTTCCACTTGAACTATTTTTAGAAATAGTAAATAACCAATCAATTGAGAGGGAAAATATCACAAGATTTATTTAGCTTTTAAAAAAACAAAATAACAACTTGACTGCCTAATTTTAACCTTAATTGATTTTCTTGGAAATTAATGAACTGCTCATATCTTACTATATTCTGCCCCCCTCCCCGTGTCTGTGTGTGTACTTACTTCGCCACTTCTTGGATTATTTCCGAGTATCCATGATCAAAATTGCCATCTATATGCTAAAGACCCAACCATTTCTCAACTTTTATCTGTTCTCAACCCCAAAACTCTCACAGTAAGTGTCTAAGTTGAGCATGTTCAACTGTATAATATACACAGCGCTCAAACTGATCATTGTTAAAATTGAGCACATTGAATGAAGGCCTTTTCTTTGAATTTCTATCCTTTTTTAGGAGAGTGTTTTCTCTTACTTTTCTGAGTTCTGAGTCTCTGTAAGTCATTTATCTAAAGAGTGGGACCTTATAAACTTACAAATACAGTTTCCCTTAATTCAAATCAAAACTGTATGCTTCTTGGGCCATCACAATATTTTTCTAATCAGCTTCACTCTCTCATTAAGGTTAGCCAGAAACAACGCATCACAACAGAGAGTCAAAGCAACTCATTCTTGTATCTATAACAGAATTCATTCTACACGACATTTGGTTGTTCACTGTTACGTTTTAACCCTAATTTGTACTTTAAATTCCAGCCATGTTGATCTCACCTTTTTCCAAAAAGCCATTTCTATTCCACATGCTATATGCATGTGCACAGACTGTTCCTGTGCCTATTGTTCTTTAGTCACTTTTAAATAAGTTTACTGTGAGGATGTAAATGCAATTTAGAATTTAAATATTTTTCAAGTTTTTAATTTTTTTCCTCTTAGTAACCGAATGAACAAGGATACAATAAACAAAATTATTGTAACAACAATAAATGCTTCAAAATAAATTCCCCATTTGGAAAGTTATGGAAAATTTGCATCTCATGATTAACATTCATGTTACATATCATATATTAAAATATTTCCATCTCAGATGTTAACACTCATATACTCAAAAAAGAAAGAAACATTGCTGAAAGTACATTCTCATGACATGATTTTAGGGGTGCTAGGAGACAGTATTTTCCATATGCATGCTTTTTCAAGACATTCAGTATCTTTTCAAGTATATAACACATTTGACCCACAGAATCTTGAAAATATACTACAAACACAAACATTTTAGAGATGAAAAATAGTTCTCTTGTTCAATGTTAGCATATGATAAAACTAAATTTATTAGTTGAAACCATCAATAAGAACAGAGCTGGTTTGTTGAAAGGGTCAGTGATAGAATAAAACCAAAATGTTAATCAAAGAAAGAAGAAATTATTTTCATTTATTCATGGATAATTAGAATCACTAAGAAACACATTTCCAGGTCACTTAATGTGCATATGGGAAACTTGAGCATGGAATGATATACAATTATTGGAAAAAACGATACTGAGTAGTTTAAAAGGTAAAAAATTTTATGTAACTGTCTATCCTTTCCTGGTATTCTAGCTTTACATTGAATAAATAATTAGAGACAAGGGATCATTTTAAGTACTTGTAATCAGAATTGGAGGAAGTATCACTAATGACATAATATGTAGATGAAAAAAACTTGCTTTGACAAAAGGAATAAATGAAGAGCATTTCTAACTTTTTGATAAAAGGTCAATAGAGTAAGCCGTAACCAAAAAGAGAAGATTCATGGTCTTTGTCTACATAATGCTGGCTGTTTATTTAGCATATAATCACCTAATTATGCTGAGAAGTTTTTCTTCTATACTTATTTTACAGTTATTTTTATTAGAAAACTGGGCTGAATTTTATACAATGTCTTTTCTTCATCAGTTGATGAAATAAGATGGTTCATTTTCTCTTTGTAAAGTGTAGTTTATTACATTGCTTTTTCTAAACAACCTTACAACTCACTCTTGTAATTCTCCTATAAACACCCTTTCATTATTATGGATAACATTCTTAATAAGTTGCTATATTTTTTTTAGTTTGATAAAATTTTTGCATTTTTGTTCATAAGGATTTTATGTCTATTCTTTAAATAAAGAATTTAGCAGCACTTCTTTTATATTTTTAAAGTGATTGAGTGGAATTCATGTCATTTTTCATTAATGGTAGAATTCACCTCTTTTGATCTTTTTTTGTTGTCAGTAGTAGTTTTTAATCTTTCTTTAATCTTTCCTTAGCTTTTGGGAAACCTATACTTCAACAAGGAAGCAGATGTCAGAACAGAGCAAGGATATACTGCATGGTTCAAAATCAGAAAAAGTGTATGTCAGGTATGCATTCTATCTCCATATTTTTTTTAATCTATATGCAGAATAGATCATTTTGGAGATTATATTTTATGAGATGGAATGTAGCAACAGGATTGCTGGAAGACTCATCAACCACCTGTGCTATGCAGATGACATAACCTTGCCTGCTGAAACCAAGGAAGACTTGAAGTATTTACTGCAGAAGGTAAAGGACTGTAGTCTACAATATAGATTGAAGATCAACATCAAGAAAATGAAGGTTCAATTGGCAGCATCATGATAGAAAGAGAAGAGATTAAGATTGTTAATGGTTTAACAGCTTGTTTGGCTCCACAAACACCACTCTTCTTACCAGTAGCAAGGAAATAAAAAAAAACAAATTGCATTGAGGAAAATCTGCTGTCAAGAACCAATCCAGAGTACTTGGGAGCAACAATGTCAGTCTAGAGACTTATATCCACCTGATCCAAGCCTTGGTCTTCACAATTACTTGCTATGCATCTGAGAGCTGGACAATGAACAAGGATGACAGAAGAGTTGAATTGTGGTGTTGGAGAAGAGTATTGAACTTACCATGGACTGCCAAGATAAGAAATAGATCTGTCCTAGAGAAGGTGAAATCAGGCTGCTCCTTGGAGGCAAGAATTTTGAAGCTCTGTCTCACATACTTTGTGCATGTGGCAAGGAGGGACCAGTCCTTGGAGAAGGACATCATTCTTGGAAGAGGGGAAGGATAGCGCAGGAGAGGAAGACCTCAGATGAGGTGAATTAGCACAGTAACTAGAGCAATGAGGGTACGTGTGTCTGAGACTGTGATACTGGCTAATGATAGAACAGAGTTTAGTACTCTTGTACATAGGGCTGCTATGAAACACAAGCGACTCCAGTATTTAACAACAGAAGTTTTAAATTATATCTTTAAATGACAATTTTCTAATGAGTATGTTTACATTTTCTGTGTGTTAGAGTAGGTAATGAATTTCTAGCACCCCCCCATTTCATGCAAATTTTCAAAGTATGTTGGAATGCACAGTTTTCTTGCTGTCATTTACTAGAACATGTACATCAAAATATGACTAGGTCATGATTCTTGGTTTGGATGCAATAACGCCATATTGTAGTTATGTAAAATTTTCTCCTTTGATATGACAAGTCAATCAGTTATAAGCATATTTAAGTTAGAATGCAAAAGCCACAATGCCATGAAAGTCCTGATATGATATAAGGGAATTTCACTGGCATGTGGCTTCAACACTTTTTTCTATCTTAAAAGCAAAAGAAGTGAAAAGTAGCAGAGAGAGGTGAACACCACCATTGATAAAGAGCTAGGAGTGGAATTCATCCTTTGTACCTGGAGTCCTTGCACTGGGAATTTTTTGACACATGGAAATCTCTATGCAATGTCAGCTCCATAGATGCTGGAAAGTGGTAAGTATTTCACTACAATGAAGAAAATAAGCCTTCTCCTAAACTCAGCACTTTCATTTTTAATTTCTAGCTATCTAAACTCTGAGAAAACAAGTTTCTATCTGCTAAAATTATCCACCTGCAACAATTCTGTTATAGAGGCAATATATAAATAAAACAACTAATATGATCTTCTTTTCTCTTTGGGATCA